ACATGATGTGACAATAAAGATTTGAAACTTGAACTCCGGGTGGATCTCATCCACCCCTGGGGCCCGGCCACCGAGGAGCTTTTTAACCACCTCGGCGACCTCCGCCCCAGAGATAGGGGAGTCCACCCCCAAGTCTCCAGACTCTGCTTCCTCAATGGAAGGCGTGTCGGTGGGATTGAGGAGGTCTTCGAAGTACTCCCCCCACCAGTGGAGCCAACCCACCACCAGGTGGTGATCGATTGACAGTTCCGCCCCTCTCCTCACCCGAGTGTCCAATACATGCGGCCGCAAGTCCGATGACACGACCACAAAGTCGATCATCGAACTGTGGCCTAGGGTGTCCTGGTGCCAAGTCCACATATGGACACCCTTATGCTTGAACATGGTGTTCATTATGGACAATCCGTGATGAGCACAGAAGTCCAATAACAAAACACCACTCGGGTTCAGATCGGGGGGGCCGTTCCTCCCAATCACGCCCCTCCAGGTCTCACTGTCATTGCCCATGTGAGCATTGTAGGCCCCACAGCAGAACAATAGAGTCCCCAGGAGGAGCGCTCTTCAACACCCCTTCCAATGACTCCAAAAAGGGTGGGTATTCTGGACTGCCGTTTGGCGCATAAGTGCAAACAACAGTCAGGACCCGTTCCCCAACCCGAAGGTGAAGGGAGGCTACCCTCTCGTCCACTGTGGTAAACCCCAATGTGCAGGCGCCCAGCCAGGGGGCAATAAGTATGCCCACCCCTGCTCGGCGCCTCTCCCCGTGAGCAACTCCAGAGTGGAAGAGGGTCCAACCCCCCTCAAGGAGACTGGTTCCAGAGCCCAAGCCGTGCATCGAGGTGAGTCCAACTATATCTAGTCGGAACCTCACAACCTCGCGCACCAGCTCAGGCTCCTTCCCCACCAGAGAGGTAACATTCCATGTTCCTAGAGCTAACTTCTATAGCCGAGGACCGGACCGCCAAGGTCCCCGCCTTTGGCCACTGCCCAACTCACAACGCACCCGACCCCTATGACCCCTCCTACAGGTGGTGAGCCCATTGGAGGGGAGACCTACGTGCCTTCTTCGGGCTGTGCCCGACCAGGCCCCATGGGTGCAGGCCTGGCCACCAGGCGCTCGCCATCGAGCCCCACCCCCAGACCTGGCTCCTGGGGGGGGGGGGGCCCGGTGACCCACGTCCTGGCAAGGGAAAACGTGAATCTATGTTTGTATTCATCATAAGGGGTCTGATGAGCCACACTTTGTCTGGTTCCTCACCCAGGACCTGTTTGCCTTGGGTGACCCTACCAGGGGCATAAAGCCCCGGGCAACTTAGCTCCTGGGATCATTGGAACACGCAAAGCCCTCCACCATGATAAGGTGTCGGCTCCAGGAGAGGTCTAAGAGCACATCTGTAGATAAAAATTGCCAGTAATGAAAACATTCCCACCCATCCCCCTGCAGGTTGGCAACACAAAACAAGCTACTGATAACTCAGTTGAAAGAAAATAAAAAGCCTGATTAAAATGTAATCCCCTCTGAAGTAATTCCGATCATAATCTAAAGCAGTTGCCGATTGATTGTTTTGACGTCAGCACAATTGCACTGGTGGGGAAGGCATGACTGTATAATCTCACCACAGAGCCAAAATATTGCTATGGACATGGCTAGATGAGTGTGGCTTTTTAAAAAGCCAAAACAACTCTTGCGCAACAATAAATTGATGTCTTACATCTCAAGGATCCGCCCCAGAGTTGCCCTGCATGTTTTCCCCCTCTTCTAATTCAGTAGGAAACAAAAAGAGACTGAAATGCTATAACTAAGATCTTTCCAGTCTAGCCAAACATAATAATTCTGTTGGGACAGGAGGTCACATAAAGCAGCAGCAGCATCTTCGTCATCATTCCTAGAAAGCATGAATGCCACTTATGTTGCATAAGATCTTACAGCTGGTCGTTAAAGTGGTCCAGTCATTTTTCTCAAGAGTACCAGGAACATTTCTTGCATACTGGCATCTCTCACAATGTACTGGCAGTTTACAGGCCCGTCATGTATCTTACTCGAACCTGTGAAGATGATGATCTCCAGCCCCCCACCACACACACAAACACACACACTTCCCAACTGAGTGCAGGTCGCTGACTAGCTATGATGCACACACAGCGCATGTTCCATCTGCACACGGCAAACAAGCTCTCACTAAAAAATACAGGTTAGCTAAAAGGGAAGCCCCACCACCAAAACTAAAATTTTATCATTAGAAGTTGTATATTGGAATATTTATAACAAACTTGTTCTCTCTACGTCAAATTTACATGGGGACAAGCAATATATTCTGTGACCTTAAACAGCCCAGACATGGGCCTATACAGAAACTATCAGAGGTATTATAAACCAATTTATTCATTAATGTTAATAACCCACCACTGTTTTTCCAGACACCTCTGCTGTCATTTTCTATTTTTATTCATCTATCCTTTTCTGAGTACCAGACCTTTGACGACTTGCCACCATTTTTACCTCAATTCCACCAGTTGTGGGACAGGTGCTAGTGCTGGGCTGGTTCTCGCTTGGTGCCTTTTGAGAACCAGCCTGCGTTTCCACCGGTTTCAAAAAAGAAAGGAACAGAAATTTTACATAGGCAGAAGTGAAAGTAAAGTGAAGTTTAATCTGTATTTTGTTTTTTGGATTTATTTTGCCGAACCGAAAAGAAGTTTCCATATTATGACTCGTTGCTCCCGGTCTCTATTGCCTGCATCCACTGTTGTCTCCGTAAAGGCTCCCCGTCTGTGTGTGCGAGTTTATTCGCGCTTGCCGTTTTACCGCTGTCATTTTGAAGTCTGCTAAAAACTAAACTTTGCAATCCACTTCATGATCTCTTCGCCACTCAAATCGCACAATATTGTATCTATTCAACATCTGATATATATACTTTATACTTTATCATTAAATCTAGACAGCAGATTGATCTTTTGTTTTTCACAGAATAAAAAACGATGTAACGTTGCACCATTTATGTGAATTATACAAGCGTTTTCGTGCAAGTTAATATTTTACGTAAAATATTTTATTTTCAGCAAATACAGTTGATACTATTTTAAGCTATTTTACGACATTTTGCCTCCGTAAAGACTGTGTGTCTTGGTTTGTTATAGTTTTGACACCTTTCTGGAGGGGGAGGCTCTGGCTCAGCTTTACACTTTTGACTTAGCCATGGTGTGATAGACCAAACACTTTTTTACATTATAAGGAGTGAAATTAAGATTGTTTTCAACCACTACGTCAAGGACAATTAGGAAGATAAAAATATCAAGCTTTTATGTGATTCACAAATACTATAGGCCTATACATTTTTCAGAAATTTTGTATTGTTGACAACTTATTCCACCAGGGGCCTGTACTACGAAGCGGGGTTACTGGCTTATCGGGGTAACTTGCGTCATCACCACCCAATTGGTCAAAATGCACAGTTACCAGTGACCTGAGAATGGATTATCTCCAGGAAATATATATATTATTGGTTATTAGTAGTATAACACATCGCAATGTATTGATGCATTCCCAATAACTTGGAACTTGAAAATTGCCATCCTTTTACTTATGAAAGTACTATGGAACAATCGAATGGAGTGGATCTGTTAGCGAATGCTAATTGCGCTAGCATTTGTTACATGGATTACACGGCAATTCTCACAGACATGCTAGCGGAAATTAGCACACAGTAAAAATAAATAAATTAATTTTTTTAATAAATAAAATAATAATAATTGCTCATAGTAAATCACGATGCACCATGTGAACAATAATTAAGCGTCTCTTTGGTTTTACATTACTGTCGCTCTCCAAACCCAGCAGCGCTTTTACTGTACTGACTCTGCAGTGGAAATCCGATGAGGGCTGGAACCGAGCCCTATGCAGTCTCCTCGTGGAATGGCTTGGGTATCGCTCAGTTCCTTTTTGCCAGTGGAAAATCACCAAAGGGGAGTACTAGCACATCTGACTTCTTTACTGCGCTCTTATTAGTTGGTAATAATAGCTACATAACAACACTGATGCACAATATGCATAGCCTTTAAAAGAAGAAACATGCACGTGTAAACTTATGTTTGGGACTTTATGTGATCGGTTGCTGACATTCCTGTAAAGATCGCCAGGCACAATTTCAGTAAGCAGTCCTGCTATTACCCCCCAGGCATATACATGCTGTACAGTGGGAACCTGAACCAACTCCACTGGGTTTACAGGTCGGACAGACAGGAATCTCCTCTTCAAAACAAATATTATTAAAAATGGCAAAACGTTCAGTGAAAATGTCACATTAGCATAACAGATGGCGTCCTCAGATAGCTGGAGCTACAGTGGCCACTGATTACACTGATATAGTGTTAATTTTCCATACTGGATTAACCAGCCTGTCGCTGTGTCACTGTGGTAACGACAGAAGACAACCTAGCCAGGGGTTTGTGGGGTCATAACCTTCCACCTCCATCTGTTGAAAGACATCCCCTGTTACCCCTATGAGAAGCAAACCACCAAATATTTGTGGGGAAAGACAATGCCTGTGGGTATTTTGACTAAGGTTGCCACCATCGTCCTGTATAATACGGGACGCAAGCATGCTGTAGTGCGGGATCGTTCCATCTAATAAGGGTTTGGATGGCAACTCTAATTTTGACTGCTGCTACAAGTGTCTGTCCATCTCACAGCTGGGTAGCAAACCCCTTGCCCTCCCAGAAAAGGAACCAGTGAATCAGTTTCATGTCCAGATGATAAATTACAGAAAGCATGCCTCTGAATCTCAAAAAGCTGGTCTTGTTTAACCCCAACAATCTAATCAAGAGCACACAGAGGCCAGCTAGGATTTCATTACTTGCAGCAGGTGATCAATCACCATGGTAACCAAGAGTTTGCCTAAATTCAGTGCTATTGTTCTACCATCTGATAGCGAAAACACTTGCTCTGTCTAAAAGCTGAGCCCACTGTGTGTAGAGAAATACCCAAAAGAAAGCACATAAGACAATTTAACTGAACAATGTGTTTGTGGATTTAATCAGGTTCATTATTACTTCTAGAGATCATAATTCAGTAAAAACGGTTGTAGTCTGTGCCGCTGACTCGAGATATAATTACATAACTATTGAAACACTTTTCCCTTCGTCTTGGTTTCTAGCTCATACCCGGAAAAGTACAGTCTAGGTATCGTGACCTAATTCTACCCTGAGTCAAAGACATTCACACATTAATTATAGAGGGACGAGTAAAATCATGCTCATTTGACCCTGCAAATATAAATGTATAACAATTTTAATTAAGGGTGAACAGACAAAATGAGATTAGGAAATTCAAAAAATTTGTTACTGCTGACAAATGACTAAATTATAACCCTTTGACTTATAATTTACATCACATAATCAAGTTACTATGAAATCTTGAGTTTGCACGTCAGACTATTCTAAGAGCCCATTAAACATTTCTGAACCGAAGTAAAACTGGCTTTGTGTGCCCAACAGTGATATGATTACTGTACCGACCACTTGATTCAAACCCACAAACCTTATGGACACAGATTACTAACCCACTGAACTACAGACAGACCACTCTGCCCTCCTTACATCTCCTGAGCTGAAGTCTCCGCAGCCTTCAGAATGTGCCCTCTTTCCATGGCTCGAGTTAAAGATGAGGAACATCTCCAAGGTGGAGATAGCTGCTGCAAGGCGTCTTACACACAAAGACTGCCTGCCTCAGCAGGGTAGATCTGACACTATAGCCCCACCCTGGGTAATACCAGTTTTCCTACAGGGGGCTATGGATTAACAGAGCAGATAAGGGCTATTAAAAATCCAACCTTGAGAGCTAGCCAATAAAATTGCAACATACACTATATGCACAAAGTCCTGGGACACTTGAGCTTTGCACCCACAGGAATGATACACATACCAAGACATTTTGGAAAATTCTATGCTTCCAGCTTAATGGGAACAGTTTGGGGAAGTTCCTTTTCTGTTCCAGCAGGACTGTGCCCCAATGCACAAAGGACATGGCTGGATGAGTTTGGTGTGGAAGAACTTGACAGACCACACAGAGCCCTGACCTCAACCATACCAAATACTTTTGGGATGAACTAGAACAGTGATCATGAGTCAGGCCTTCATGTCCAACATCACAAATGCTTTTATGGATGAAACGACAAAAATCCCCACAGGTACACTCCACTCTTGTGGAAAGCCTCCCCAGAAGAGTGGCAGCTGTTACAGCTGCAAAGGGGGGACCAGCTCCATAATGATGGCTATGGAGTTAGAATGGGACGTCATGAAAGTTCCTGTAGGTGTAATGGCCAAGTGTCCCAATACATTTGTCCATATAGCACATTAACACAGTCCTTTCTGTTACTGAAGGGGAAGAGTTCACATTGCAGCAAATGCAAATATGGAATACTTTTATTCATTTCTGTGAGAGAGGGAGCCCAAAATGACCTGGCGTCCCGCTGCAGGGTGTGAGATCAAAAAGCAACAACAAAAAAACATTTTTTTGAATGTGAAACACTACGGAGATTCTGAATATTCATTTTCATGGTTTTTGATGTATACTGTACAATAAATGTTAGTCAACTTAAGATACTTCAAATATGACACAAAAACTTTCAAAACAATCAAAAATCTAAAACTGTCACACCTACATTGGAAATAGAACCATACATTTTTTCTGTAGTCAAATTAACGAGCCCAGCAATTGGTTAAAACATATGTATATACTTTTTTGTCAAATGCAATAAAAAGCTCAGACATCAGTTTGTAAAAGGATTCGCATACAGCACACAGTACACACCATGCAGAGAAAAGATAATGATCAAAAACTCCTTGAATAAGAAAGATGTGAGCCGCCCCAACTGTCAACTCTCCCGAATGTTCTTCCTTCTCCCGGAGTGATTCCAGGCTGCCTAGTGTAGCTGAACATTTCCACGAACAGGTGTACTTTCGCTATCCTTTCATCGTAGATCTTAACGTCCCGTGTACCTGATACCAGGTCGTGGCGGGGGGGGGGGGGGTAGGGCACTTCACCCACTGAACCATTTGGTTTTCTTAGTTGGAAACACTGTGGAATTTCCCAACAGCTTCTTCTTGTACTGCTCCACCAGGCTCTCGAAACCGTCATGGTCTCTATCCCTCCGCTTTGTAGCCTGCAAATGAACAACACAGTGGAAATTCCTCAGACACCATGTGAAGATTCATCAGAAGAGAAGAAGCCTCTCGGAACCGCAGATGATCCTAGCGCAGCTCAGTAAACCATCACATTCATTTGTACTGGTTCAAGCCCTTCTTGATCTGGTTTTCTGTAATAACCAGGATAGGATTGGAAAATTAGAGGTTTTAGACCCATTGTACGGTAGTGATCATAACATGGTTAAATTGGATTTTAATTTTAGTGTCGGAAGAGAAAAGTCTAGGAAAATCTAGATCTAAATCTAGGAAACGACAACCAAGGTGGT